CATAATTACAACATCCCCATACCCGCCAACAAATGCAGTATTCATAACAAGTATACCTTTCTGAATAAGAGTAATCTTCCTTTGGGGAAATGCAGTGTGTTTTTGCAGGGGCAATATCCAAACAAAACATGATGTATTCCTTGAACAGTTGCACCATGTCCTTTGAAGGAGTGCAGTGTGCATTTCCAGATGTCTAACCCTCCTTTCAAAGGAGCAGTACCCCTTTTAGACAAATCCATATTTCTGCATCATATATGCAGTATTATTGACATAGAGCATCCCTTTCAAAAGTGCAATATGTTCGAAACTGTAAAGAATGCTCTTTCGCTTCTTACCACAGAACAACATAATATTGTCCTGTATGGCAAAAAAGTCTTCCTGTGAAGAAGCAGCATTCTTGGAAAACTGGATTACTTTTATTTGACATGTGTACTCTTCCCCTTGGCCAGATCAGGCCAGCCTTCATTTAGACAACTCTCACTTAAAGAAGTGTTTTAAATACAATCCAACAATAATGTTTTCGTTTAATCAAATATCTCACTCATATCAAGGGGGTGTTGCACAAATTCAACAACAGATTCTTCACGGACGACCATACTCTTTCAAAAGAGTGCTACATCAGGGTGTCCCCTTCTGCATGTATATATATATACTTAATGGGTTTTAGAAAAAAACAACTTATTAATGCATTGATCAGAATGAATATAATGGTGATTCATCATGATTAATGGTGATAGTGGTGAACATGGTTAATGGATGATGGTTATTTTAACATGCATGTGAAATTCATGGCCCATGAATGGATGAATAACCTTTAAACATGGTGATTTCCTACATCTATGTTAGTTTGCCTCAGGGTAATCATCCATTCGTCATCCAGGAATCATCATTAACCATTACCCAAGAACTGTAAACCATTCGTTAACATCCATTAACCAAAAAATGTGCCCAGACCCAATGGGATAGTGATAACCTGGTTTATAACTGGAAAAAACACTGGGAAAATGGAATGCATCAATCTATGGTAAGTTCTCACAATATGATATGAATAACAATATAAATACCACCAGCTTATCCACCACGATGCCAGCAAAGGTTCCTGATTATGTCGCCTGAGACTTTAGGAGACAACCTGCAAATTGATGATTCATCATCATTTTTCCAACAACATGGAGGAATTATACCCCCAATGATGATTTGTTGCCAACCATTAATTGGGATTTAGTGGGAAATCATCCAAAAGATAGAGGACCTCTTACCAACCATTAGTGGGAATATAATATGCTATGCCGCCAACAACAAAAATTCTTTGGGCATTGGCTAGTATTACACCCAACAATATGCCAACACGACTATTTCTTATTGGCTCACAATTTTGTGAAATGCCTTACGAAAAGCCACGTATAATTGGGAAAAGCAAACATAGGGATGTAAATCGAGAGATATGTATATTTTAAAGGATCATCTCATAACAAATAGAAGGATGCCAGCCTAGGTTCCTAATATTGCTTTGGAACTAACTAAAATATAGTTGGACAAAGTCCAACAAAACATGGTGTTTCGCAACAATGAGGAGTTCCTTTTTTTGTTTGGGTTACAAACAAATGGGATTAGCAATGCATGGACCAACACTAAATGAGGATTCACCAGCGGCTTGTCCACCAACGATGCCGATAATGATCCTGGTGGTAACACATATGGGGACATAAATTCAAACCCCTGTTGATATAATGGAGAAAGATAGGGGTACACTACCCTCTGGTAAACTAATGTAACGAACTGGACAATCATCACTTTGAATAGGTAAATCAACGATTTCTATGGGCCATTTTACAGTTCGCTTAAACTGTTAGTCTGACAGAGGGGTAACTCGTTTGACGGAACCATCCACGAACGGGGCGCCGCTACGAAACCCATGGCTGGGGCAATCCCCAAAATGGGGGAAATCATCGAACGGATTTGGGGGGGGATTCTTCATTGCCATGTTTG